GGGCTGGTCCTGGGTGTAAGGGGCCTACCCTCCCCGGGGCCTCTCGGGAAGGGACCCAGGGGTCCTGAGGGAAGACAGGTGAGCAGCTTTTCTTTCCCTTCCCTGGACCCCAGCCCAGCTCTGTTTAGCACCCCCAGGCTTATCTTTCCTGGGTTCCCCACCTTGCAGGGGGTGGCTCATGCCTGCTGGGTGAAGCTTGATCTCCCAGGAGGGCTGGGCCCACTGGGCTTGGGGACATCTAGAGGTCAAACCTCCAGCTTGAACCAGCCAGCCTGCAGCTGCCCTGAGCACTGACTGCAGCAGGGCTGGGCTCTCAGCCTAGCAGGGAGGCAGATGGACACACAATTCTAGAGACCAGGGGGCTAATGTCTGAGGGGCCTGGGAAGGGATACTGTGCGAGAAAGCCAGAGGCCAAAGAGCTAGGCCTGGCTCCATCTGCAGCTCCAGACCGCACCTTCACGGCATGGTTCTCAGAAATCTCCTGGCCTGATCTGGAGTTTAAAGGCAGCGCCACTCCCCTGGCCATGTGGGAAAAGGAAGACTCAGTCATCCAGCAGCTATTTACTGCAGAGCTCCTGCCCAACCAGGATGCGTGGAGCTGAGACACCCACCTGCATGCACAGAGAGACACAGGGGATGTGCAAGGGGCTTTGGAGGCTCTGCCAGGCATGGGCAGTCAGGGAGGGCAGGTGTGTGGCAGAGGAGGCCGGGGTTGTGGTGGCTGCAGGTCCAGCTGAGGGGCAAGGGCTGGCAAAGGCTGGGTTGAGGAGTGAACAGCAGATAGCAAGGTCAGACTGAGGCCAGATTTGGGAGAGGTGCAGCAAAGATGGGGGCTGATGGCCTGACATAACATCTAGGTGGTGGTCAGGTGGGTGGGAATGAGGCAGCAGCAGTCTAGAGGTGCAAGTGGAGCCAGGCCTAGCTCTTTGGCCTCTGGTGTTCTCGCACAGTATCCCTTCCCAGGCCCCTCGGACATTAGCCCCCTGGTCCTGGTCGTTGGTCTCTAGAATTGTGTGTCCATCTGCCTCCCTATTAGACTGAGAGCCCAGCCCTGCTGCAGGGGGTGGATTTGTCACCCCTGTCTGTTATGTCACCCCAACCAGCCAGACAAGAGCCAGGTCCCTCCTCCTGGGACACTGGTCAGGCTCTACCTTCCTCCTCTGTCCAACTTGCCCTCACTCTTTCAGGCTGGCCTCTGGAAACCACTCCCCATGGTCACCACACTCACCCCCACCCCCACTGAAAGAAGAACAAGAGCCTCTGGGCTCCAACTGCTGTGCAGATAGCTTCTGGCACAAGGGGATGCTCAAAGCACCTGTGGGTGCGGTGGGCGGGTGGAGGGAGGAACTCCTGACAGATGCTGGTGGTGAGGAGGGCCTCAGCAGGCCGCCTCTGATGAGGGCCCCGCAGGGCAGGGCCTGGGGGAGCTGAGGCCTGCCCTCCCTGAACAGGAGAGGCAGCAGCTCTGGAGAGGGAGGCAGGAAGGAGCCCAGGGGTGTTTTCGTGGAGGCTGGGGACTTTTAGGTGCAGCAGGGAAGAAGGACAGGCAGGATTGACTCCTGAGAGGACCTGGGATAGAATCCTGCCTGTGCACTTAGCAGTTCTGGAGCCTTGGGCAAGAAGGGTCCCCTGCCTAAGCTTCAGTTTCCTCCCTGCGACTTGGGCAGGCGTGAGGATGAAGGGGTTGGCGCATATGCTGCGCAGGGCTCAGTCAGTCTTTGCTGTTATTCCCTGTTGTCCCAAATAAATGCCTGAGGCAAAAATCTCAATCAGTGGAGGTTTATTAAACCAAGATTTTGGGGACGCACCTGGGAAAAACACAAACCGCAGACAAGCTGGGCTGTTTTGTGTTTAGAACCTTCCGCAGAGAGAAGCAAGAAGGCAGGGGGAGGGGGCTGAGAAGGTAGTGGCTACATTCTTTTTTTCTTTTTAAGGGATGGGGGCTGTGAGGAGGGGTGTTCAGTTGCCTTGTTTGTTTTTTTGTTGAGATAGAGTCTCACTCTGGTGCCCCAGGTAGAGTGCAGTGGTGTCATCGTAGCTCACAGCAACCTCAAACTCCTGGGCTCAAGTGATCCTCCTGCCTCAGCCTCCAGAGTAGCTGGGACTACAGGTGTGCACCACCAGGCCCGGCTAATTTTTCTATTTATAATAGAGATGGGGTCTCGCTATTGCTCAGGCTGGTCTTGAACGCTTGAGCTCAAGCAATCCCCCCTGCACCTGCCTCAGCCTCCCAGAGTGCTAGGTTACAGGTGTGAGCCACTGCACTGACCTGGCCGTGGCTACAGTCTTGTGAGGCCCAAGAAATCTATATTTTACATAAAATAAGAGAGTGAAGAAGCATCAGTTATGTAGATGTCCCTGGGTGGGTGGAAGAATGTCTGATTCTATCCTGTGTCCAGTGCTGTCGCCTGTAAGATAAACTTGTGATAGCTGGCATGGGGTAAGGCTTTGGTTTTAGGTGCCAGACATAGTTACTGCTGTGCGTCCTTGCTTATGAGAGGTTAGCAAGAGATGTCCTTGATGAATGACCTGTGGGGCCGCTCCTCACAGGTGTCTGGGGCTGTGATTTTGTCTTCACACCCTCCTGTGTGGGCCCTGGCTGAGTTGCCAGGCCCAGGAACATGAAGGCACTGAGGCGCACAGCAGGGACTGGAGGTTGCTGGAGTCCAGGAGCAGCCTGGGGGTGGTGGGTGGTGGGGTAGCAGTCTGCGGTGACTTTAGTTTTCATTTTTTAACTTAATTAAAAATTTTTTTTACAGACAGGGTCTTGCTATGTTCTACATTGCCCAGGCTGGTCTCGAACTCTTGGCCTCAAGCGATCCTCCCACCTTGGCCGTTCAAAGTGCTGGGATTATAGGCCTGAGCCACCACGCCAGGCCTAGGGTGACTTTTTGAGGGTTGGAACACCTGGGTAATATTTTGAACCAAGCATTGAAGGGGAGTAGGAATTAAAAGGGGAAGGGAGGTCCAGGTGTCTTGGTTGAGGGCGCAGACCATTGCAAAGGCAGGGATGCCAGAAAGTTCCAGGAACTTCTGGGGAGCCCAGGTGGTTCTGTGGGCCTGGGGTTGTCCGCAGTGGGTCAGGGGGCCTGCATCCCCCAGCCCACCTTTTCCCTCTTCCCCCGCCATGTACTTCCTCGTGAGGCCCGATACCTGAAGGCCTCTAAATGGGGCTTTGCTTTGTGATGGTGGCAGCAGTAGGTGACTGGCTGATGCCTTTAAAAATAAGGCTATTTGGAAAATTGCACTTTGGTGTGCTGTGGCATGGAGCCCCACTCCCAAGGGCTTTCTGTGTGTTCTTAGTGCCTAGAATCTATGGCCCCGGCTCTGAGCATCTCCTAAGAACCCATGAGTCCCAGGCCACAGGGGAGTCCCTGGGTCTCCTCCCCTGCCTCAGGCCATTGGAGGACCCATTTATTTCATTATGACTTATTTCTTCCAATCAATTACTTGGAATGCTCTGGCAATGAGTGATCTTACGTTTTTGTTTTTTTTTTTCCACCTTGCCCTTCTTACTTCCGTACCAGACCTTAGGTTTTGAGCCAGATCCACTTGGATTCAAGTGCTCCCAGTAAAATGTGGCACCACAGGGGCCTCTAGGATGGTTAGAGGTGCTGTGTAGAGAGGGTGGGTCACACAGACAAGCAGCTCTATTGTCCTTACTCCCAATAACAGCAAGTGTGGTTTGGCCTCTTGGGAGCTTGTCGTTTTCCCATTCATAAAATGCAAATAGGGGCTGGCGTAGTGGCTCACACCTGTAATGTCAGCACTTTGGGAGGCCAAGGTGGGAGGATTGCTTGAGGCCAGGAATTTGAGACCAGCCTGAGTAACATAGCAAGACCCTGTCTCTAAAAATATATTAACCATAAAGCGGCAACAGTGCTCCTCTACTTACCTTGAGGCTTTGGTGAGAAGGGCTGAGAGCTCTCATCTGATGGCGCCAGGTGACTGTGCTTCTCTAAGTCTGTGGCTTACCCATCAATGAGTATATTAGCACATCTGTGTTATAGCATATTTCTGTTTGAGGGAAATCTGAAAGCTATGAGATATATACAGGCAAAAGATAATCAATGGCCTATGCTGGGATACTCATTTTAGTATTTCTTCCTGTCTTCGTTGATTCCTGTGCATGGTGAGTCCGTCATATGCTGTGATTATACTTGGAATCACTCTTTTAACTTGATCATTTCCTCTGTGCCATACATTCTTTAAAGATTTTTGACCTTCCTTCATTGCTGGACATCTACATTACACCTACATTACGTGTGTCATTGGACCAAAGGGATTCTGTGTGCTATAATTTTCTTTTGAGTCCTCCCTTGCTGGAGCCATGCCTTCTTTTTTTCATGAACGTGCTGCTTCTAGTTTTGCCTCCCTGAATTTGTTGTTCTAAATCTACGGGAGGTTAGGAAATACTATGGGTAAGTGTACTTGTTAAAACTATAAGTAAAATACTATGTGTTGGACTCTCATGTGAGGGTCTGTGTGCTGCTTCTTGGGGCAAAGTGCAGAGGTCCGTGGCAGCTCCTTTGGCTATGGTTGTCTGATATTTTCCCATCTCTGTGTCCACGTCTTCTGTGTGCCTGAGGTTGCTTGAAAGCTGACCTCCGGCTGTCTGGGCTATTTCTGCCTTCGTTCCACCCTGCCCCCCACACTGATCAATTGCAAGAACCAACAAGAGAATCCCAAATTCTAGGCATTATGTCCTAAAAATGAGAACTCCCCATCTCCATGGTGAAGGAGGTAACACTCCAAGGTGCGTAGGTGGAAGGGACCAGCTTTCCCACGGATTTCTGAGAGCTCTTGGGCCAAAGGAGAGCTCTTTTGAAATAAGTTAATGCTTCAAAATTTGCCTCTGCCACATAGGGATGGGCCCATTGCCAAGTTCAGCTTCTAGTGTGGAGTGACAGCTGCTGTTACTTTTATTCATACTGTGGCTCCTGGTGGCTCCAAACAGGAGCTGGGGCCAGGGGGTGTGAAGGAGGATGGAGCCATGGCAAGAGCTTCTGGCCAGTGGGGGCAGAACTGTGGGACCTGGGCGAAGTGGCCACCTGCCCAGCACCTGTTTTCTCACCTGTGCAATGTGAGTTGATGCACCAGCCTGGCAGGTTGTGGGGATTAACAGAGGTGAAACAGCCAGCGCAGCCAGGGCACCGGGGATGCCTCCAAGTACAGATACAGGTATGAGCAAGATTGATGTATTCATTCAACAAATATTTTTGGAGCTCACATCCAGTGACTGGGGAAGAGCTGGGGGCAAGATGTGAGTTTGGGAGACTAGCTGGCTCCTCATTATCTCTTGAGAAAAGATGTGAGGGGCTGGCAGGGCAGGAGGCCTCTGGCCTGCGTTGTGTGCCCACCTCCCACCCCAGCACGGGCTGGCACAGAGCAAGTGCTCAGGGACAGTTTCCATGGATATGGGATATCCTGGGAAAGGCATTCCCAATCCTCCTGAGCTAGGCTGGCTACTGCTGCTCAGCAAGCTTCGGGAGGCTCAGAGGTCAGCCTGGAAAAGGTCCCTCAGTGGGGTCTCTGAGGAGCCCCAGGGTCTCTCCTTGCCTTGGCAAGTTGACCAACATCCTTTATCTACATTGGGAGGGGTGTGTCAAGAGCTCTCCAAACATGCTAGAAACTCACAAAACCAGACAAAGCTTATTTTTACATTTATGTCACTTGTAATTTTGACTTGTTTAATCCTCACGGCAACTAAGGAGGTGAAGGTGCTGTGTGCCTTGTAGAGATCGGGAATTCTGGGGAGGCTTCCTGGAGACCTAAGGGGTCAGCCAGCTCAGGGGCTATGATGTGCTGGTCCTGTGCCTGAAACTGCGGAGAGGGAGGTAAGGGGCCTAGATCTTGTCCGCACCAAGTGACAGCTTAACTGGGGGTAAGAATCCTTCTGGGAGCCCTGGGTAGGGTCTCCAAGGGGGAATGGGGATGGCTTCAGCTAGGTGGCTGTGCTGGGGCTCCACCTGAAGGACCAATAGGTAGCCAGCATCAGAGATGGGGGTGAGGGAGGAGCCGAGGTTCTGAGAGAGAAAGTGACTGCACACAGCCACACAGCTAAATCCTGTTCCCTGTTTTTAATTTTGTCAGACTCAAGTTGCAATGAAGATTTACCGAGAACACTTCTGGGTGCTGATGACAAAAGGTAAGACATGGGTCAGATCACACTAAGAGTACAGGTGACAAGTAGCTTCCAGGGACAGGTTCTGGGGCAGCAGGGTGGCATGGGTGAGGAAAAGGCAGGCAGAGAACACCAAGTGCAAATTGGTGGGACCACAAACTTTGGTTCTGGATATAGAACAATGGTTCCTTGTCATTGTAGGGTTTTAAAACCCTAAGACTTAGAATTAGGACTGGAAGGGATTTGGGGAGCCACAAGCACATCTGTTAATCCGATGTATTAAATTGCTAATTAAGTCAGGACTGAAGCAAGTCTGTGTTTTCCTGTTAGTGCTACAAAGCAAGCTGGGGAGGCTACCAAGGGGTTTGAAGAAGACCTGGCATGATCTTTACTTAAAACCACCAGAAATGTTAAGCATATATAAAGCTTCTATTATGCACCAAACACTGTGGATGTTAACATTTTTTTTCAAGAGACTGCCTTTTTAAAATTCTCACCATTCTGCCATCATAGGTAATAGGTGGTGCTAAGAGTTTTTAGAGCTATGAGCTAGGGAGAAGACACAAGTTAGGGGTTCTTTGGCCCATCCCTCACGACTGAAGCCCAGATGAATCTTCCATTGCAGCTTCCAGATGCTTCCTGTGATGGGGAAGTTACCCTTCCTGTCCCTGAACACTCTGCTAGTTCAAGACCTCCTTTAGATTCTGCTGTAGTCAGTCTCTCCTGGGTTTCCTCTTTGGTAATTCCTCTGCCTTTGACAACCCTCAGGACTTCTGGTTAGCAGGATCCAAAACCTAGTGTAAATCCAGGCCTTCCAGCTCCCGGCCACTGGAGTCTTTCCTCTGCCATAAGTGCCCAGAATGTAATAATAATCCAACAGTTAAGGACCTACTATCTGCCAGGCCCAGGGAAAATAGCAGTAAGTAAAATAAGCCTGGTTTGGCTCATGGAACCTACTCTAGAAGGGGGATGAGGATCAATTACCCGTTAACAATAGCTTCTTACACACTATGCAGGGCCTTGCATCATCTCCAGGAATAGGCAGGGAAGGAGATCTGGAGCAGGGCCTCCGGCTTCCGCCCTTCTCAGCTACCGACCCATCCCCAGAGCACGGGCAGAGGGCTTTATCACTGAGTCCATTTCCCGCTGTTTAAAACGGCTTTGATCATAGACTCTTGTCTCTGGAGTTTTTGCAACGTTGAAGTGAAATACGCACACTAACGCTGGGTCAATGGTTCCCAAACCTCTGCATATTACACAGCTTCCCAAACAAACTGAGGATACCAAACTATATTTCACTTCCAAAGACTGTGATTTAATTGGCCTGGGGCACTGCTTGGGCTTTGGAATTTTAAAAGCTTCCCCCAATGATACTGAAGTGCAGGCCAGTTTGGGAACTACAGCGCTAGGCACTGCATAAAAGCGCCAGAAACATGAGCGATCAGGAAAGCCCATTTTACAGATTAGAAGACTAAGGCCAGGCCGGGGGACGCCACAGCGCCGTTCCCCAGGCCATCTATCGGGGCCTAAGCTCAGGTCCCACGCAGACCTCCTCCCTCTGGCAAGGTGGGGCCCCGTCATCCCTCCCGCACACCTGCTAGGCAGGGGCGCCCCATCGATGAGCTCCGCCGCTCGGCTCCCCAGGCCTGGTCCCTGCCTGCTCGTGCCCTTCCCCCTCCCGGCCGCTTCCCACTTCCAAGATGGCCGCGGGTGGAGCCGACCAGGTAGGGGAGCCCCTGTCGGGTGTCTGCGGGGGCGCTGTGAGCACAAAGGCCCCCTTCAGGGCTCCCCTCGCAGCTCTGGTTGGCCCTCGGGAGAGAAAAGGGCCGGCGACGCCGCTCTGGAGGCCTGAGGTGGGCGGGCCGGAGGAGGGGCAGGCGGGCGAGCGTCGACCTCCAGGCGCGGCGGGAGGCGACGACGCGGGCGGAAGGGCTGACGCTGCCTCAGGGGGCGTGGCGAGAGTGCGTGGGGGCGTGGCGAGGCGTGGGGGCGTGGCGTGGCGAGGGCGCGCGCCGCTGTTCGCCGCGGGCGGTTCGCGCGCACCTGCCAGTCTGACCCGCCGCCTGCCGAGCGCCCCTCGCCGCGCAAGTTGCGGGTCCCGCGGGGCCTGGGCTGCGGGCCCGTGGGTCCCGGGGATGGCGTCGGAGCCGCACTAACTCCGGTACTGAGGGCCTCCTGAGGGGGACAGGGCCGGAGCTGCGAGGGAGGCAAGGGGCGCGGGGGCCGCTGCCACCTGCTGCAGCGCTGGCCAGCGCCTGGAGGCGGCCAAGGGGAGCGGGCCGCGGGGTGCGCGTCCCGCCTGGCGCCCTTCGCCGCGCGGTCGCGGCTTTCTTTGCGCGAGGGTAGCGCGGGGGTGGCGCCTGGGGGCCGTCGCGGGGCCTCCCGGGCTGGGGGGCGGCACTCAGCGCTCGATAGCCCCTCTGGGAAACACGCGCTGGGACGTGCTCCTTTTCCGGAACTCGGCGAAAAGTTTTCCCTCTCAGATGGCAGGCTGCTGTACGCCTGGCGCACGCGAGGTTCCCGGCCGGAGAGGACCCCCTCCTCCTCCTCAGAGCCGCGGGCCCGGGGTCCCCCTCCATCTCGGACCCTTCTACCCTCGTCCTCCGCAGACCCCTGGTTCCCGGGCTGCGGAGCCTCTCCTCAGAGTCCCCCCTCAGGGTGCCCCTTCCGTCTCGGACCCTGAGTGCCTGGGCTGCGGACCCCTCCTTAGAGTCCCAAATCCCAAGGGATCCCGCCTCCACCTCGGGCTCTTCTACCCCTGTCCTCCTCGGACCCCCAGTTCCCGGACCACGGACCTCCTCCTCCTTGGAGCCCCCGATCCCCCCTCCCATTTCTGAGACTCATACTCCTTGAACCCCCACACTACTCGGACGCCCTATCCCCGGGCCAGGGACCCTCCCTGCCTCGAAGTACCCCACCCCTGGCTGCAGAGACCTTGGCCCAGGGACCCTCTGTATTGGCCTCTGGCAGGGCCAGGAGGCTGGAGCTGAGCCCTGTGCGCTCCACCAGCGATCCTCGGTGGGGTAGGCACTGCCTTGAGGAAGGAGTCGTGGGACTCTTGGGCCCCCTCTCCTGCAGGAGTGTGTCTCAAAACTGTGGGATCGTGGCTGTGACGAGGGTGGCTGGTCAGGAGGCTGCAGGACTGGCCCTGCGGACTCTAGATCGGTGAGGCAGTAGGCGTTTTAGTGACCGTCCCGGACCAGGATAGTGAAACGTTCTGTCGTAAAGTTGCATAGGTGGACACCGTTTTCTCCAACGTGGAATTGGAAGCTTTGCTTTGGAGGATTCTATACGCACCAAGTGCAGTTTGCCACTACTGGAGGCTCCTGGGCATCAACTTGATTATGTTACCTACTGAGGCTACCTGAGGAGGGTAGTGGCGGTGGTGTCTTGGGGCCCGAGCACTCACTCTCTTGCCCTTCTTTGGCTTCCCCACCCTGCCATCTGCAGGATGTTAGCACCTAGTGCTTGTCTTGCCTGGCTTTTATAGAGGATGGGGTTGCCTGCCCAGCACTGGTAGTTGCATTCTTGGAACACTTCCTGTTGCCCAGTTTATCTGGCCAGTACCAACCCATATTTCAAGTTTGAGTGTGGCTTCTGGGAGACCTCTTTTATCTCTTGTCCCACCTGAGTGCCTTCCCTCTGCCTGCCCACAAGCTGTCTTACTGCTGTCTTAGTTGTTATATGTGTTTGAACCCTTGAGATTGTGAGCTCTACAATCCTAATGAGTTCCCCAGCCCTAATAAGAACCTGACTTGCACTTGGTGCTGAGGGTTATTGGGTGAATATACCTGCTGAGAAATGTTAAGGATAAAGGAACTGGTTTGGAGCCATCCAGATGGAGAGAGTCAGAGATGGGATTCAAACTGAGGCAGGTCACTGGGCCATGCTCTCCTCACCTGATGTCCTCCGCAGTCCCAGCAGGCCCTGGCTGTTCCCACTCAGCATTTTGCACTGAGCTGGGCTTGATTCCTGTTTGTACAACTGAGTTTTCACAGTCTGCTCCCAGCCTACCACTCTCACATTCAGCTTTAGTGCTGCCTCACCTGGCTTCTATTAGTGTCCCTTTGGCCCCTGCAGTTCCTCTGCCTTGGGTACCCTCTTTCTGCCCTACTCCCCCATCCAGTGGGGTGAATTCCTATCGTTCATGGCTCCACTTTGCCTCCCTCCCACTTTCCCTGGGTTAATTCCTTTGTTGGCACTCTGTAGAATGCCTCTGTAAAAGTGAGGACAAGGCTAATCAGAGTAGCTTGTTTGAGTCTGTCTCTTCCATTGGTCAGAGCTTCTGACCTTAATGTCCCCAGCCCCAGCACAACGGATGCCTGCCCAACATGTCATAGGTGCTTGGGGAGTCTTCAAGACCTTGGAGATTTTGAGACAGGGTCTCACACTGTTGCCTGGGCTAGAGTACAGTAGCATCATCATAGCTCACTGCAAACTCAAACTCCTGGGCTCAAACGATCCTTCTCCCTCAGCCTTCCCACTAACTGGGACTGCAGGCATGTGCCACCATGCCTAGCTAAGTCTTCTGTTTTTTCAGTAGAGATGGGGTCTTGTTCTTGTTCAGGCTGGTCTCGAACTCCTGACCTCAAGCGATCCTATAGCTTCAGCCTCTCAAGAGCGCTAGGGTTACAGGTGTGAGCCATTGTGCCCAGCTCTCAGTATAGACATTTAATATATAGAGAATACAAGAGGATTTTAGAAAAATGAGTGTGTTAACATTTGTTTTAGGACTAAATATAAAGAAAGTTTCTTGGGCCAGGGTTGTTTAGAATTCTTCATTGTCTAGCTGGAAGGCCCTCAGGGGTGTGTATCAGTTTGGCTAATCGCTTTGTTTTACAGATTGGAAGGTTGAGGCCCAATGCTACATAGCAAGTGTGAGGAGAGATGTTAGTGACAGGAAGAAGCTGTACAGTATGGCCTTGTAGACATAGCCTGGCTGTGTCTAGGCTTGCATATGCAAATAGGCTGCTAAAATTGTGGGGCTGAGTTGGCTAGCTCTATCCGGTGCCCAGGAAAGAATA